CCTTAACAGGTTCCTTAAACATGCCACAATCCTCTTTTTATTTAAAAAAAACCTCCTACCCAAACGCCATAAAACAATAGTGCTACTTTCTATGAAAATCGCTTTATTTATAGAATAAAAAATAGTACGCTAATAAAAATTATGTTAAAAAAGCTTGCTGGAAGCTTATTTATGTGCACACAAGACAAAAATATTTCTTAAATTAAACAGCAGCAAAATCCCTGTAACAGGCAACAAAGCAAAGCCTTCAATAAAAAGACCAAGGTGCACCTTGGATGGTAACTCTGTTCCTTAGTAATAATCTAATGTGGCTTATATTTTCCAGCTTCATCTCATGCAAGCAGAGAGTTTTGATGTCTATATGTTGGGGGTTTTTCTTCTTTTTTTTCTGGACATTTCAGATAATAAACTTACAGCATTCCATTTCCCCAGGTATAGTGATTACTAGTTAGTCAAATAGCTGGAAAAGGGCAGGCTGCTTTGCATAACATTTAATTAGTTTTAATTATCGATCACATTAAAATGTGGTAAATTAAGCCCACATCCCATGAGCCACTGAGACTTAAGCAGTTTGTCACTTATCAATTCTTGCCTAAACCACTTGGGCTGTCAAATGCACATTATCTCATTCTAAAGATTTACAAATTTATTACCAAGAGATAAATAGCATTTGCAGTGAAGCTCCAACATTAACACATGGCTGTTATCAGCTTTTATTCTTTCTACCCATTCATGCACTCCTAATAGTAAATGACTGCCTCACTAACTTCAACAGAATAAAAATAAACCAGCAAGAAAAGCATATGCTAAATAGTTTTGTTGAACTAGGCTAGATTCCCAGGATCTTGCAGGATGACAAGTTCTAAACATCTACTCTACAAGATATTTTGTGTCCAAGAAAACTGGAAAACCCACCATGTCAAAGAAGACAAACATTCCTAACAATAATACTTCCCAAGTCTACTAAGGTTCAATCACTGCTACAGAATTGTCACATGCCACTGTGTATCTTTCTCCTCTCCATTGCTGGCAGGATTAGGTTTTAAAAAACATTAAGAAGAGTGACTGAAGTCTATTTCCTCCCCTTATGTAAAACTTTTCTGGAAACCTGCACAGTGCCAAAGGTAAACTAGATTCAAAGGGAACTGACATTTCCAATCCCTTCTCACATTAAAGGCAACACAAATCTCCACCTCCTGCACTGGGCTGGGCCAGCCTTGTTATTTAAACCCAGTTAAGTGTCCTCTCCTCAAGACTACTGAAGGGCATGCTGTAGAGAAGTACCATAAAATCTGCTCCAATCTGAGCCTTACCCTGGACAGACATCAAACAATAATTGTTCTCTCAAAAGCAAAGCCTATAGACACAATGGTTCCTGCAAAGTGATTTCTTCACAGAAATTACAATTTCCTGAATTTCCTTCTACATTTATAACTCAAAAGTGAAGGTAGAACTGTCAGTAGTGTTAGGGTGATTTTTTCATAGAAATAGAGACTGTAGGAAAACTAATTATAATTGGGTTTGACAACTGCCTGGTTGTTGGCAACTGGGCTCCCTTCCCCTTCTTGAACAGCCTCTATTTACAACACTGTCATGCTTACCTACTGCTTGATGATGTATTTGGAGAAAGAAAATATCTTGATTAACCTGTCTACTGTTCCCACAAAAGAAAACATCTGCCTTATGGAAACTTGGCATCTTGGGGAGAGTAAGAGCAGAGCAAGGGTGTATGATGATACTTCTGCACTCTCCCAACAGTCAAATATTTTCAGGTCTTGGTGGGTCTTGAGGAAATCTGTATTTATTGACACCTCATCCTTCAATGGATCTCCTCCAAGTACTTGTCCAGACTCTCCTTGTAACAAAATTCTTCAACACACTGTACTTTTTGGCATGAAAATAAGCCCTACTGCACATTGCACGAAGAGCTGCATCCTTTTATTTGCTTTGAACCTAACTCCTGCTAGATATCCTATGGCTGCTGTAACGGAAGAGACAGGGAGTGTTTAACTCCCTCTCTGTGACATTTAATGATTTTATAGGTGTCTATCATATTTTACACCTCAGTTGTCTGTTTTGGCCTTCTCACTACCACCTCATACAGGAGCAGAACCCTTCCTCAGCCCAGCTATCCTTCTCTTAATGTCCTGCAGTTACTACCTATCTTCTTCTGCATGACGGGACCAGAAACACAAACTTCCATCTTTTGTTGTCTTTCTTCAAGTGATTTTAGTGGTGCTAAAAACAGTAAGAGAAACATGCAACTTTCATCCAGTGAAATGAGAGTAGAAGTGTTACTGGATTGGAGTCGCCAATAATTATAACTGTTAGCTATTATGAGCAATTTAACATCAAGATCAGCAACAGACCTATTCCAAGAAGCAGACTGTCAGAAGAGGGTGTAACAAAAGCCATCCCCTCAAACTTTTAAAACACAGTTACCAACCATTAGCACAGCTTTCAATTACAGAATAATTATTTTCATAGAAATGTGACTTTATGTAACTATGATGTACTTTGAAACAAGGACTCAGTAGATTTTGACCAAAAAATTAAATACATGTAGGAGTAACATCTTAGGGCTTTATTTGAAAGGCACACTTCAGTAGCCCAAATGCTGTCAGCTCAACGTGCTAACAATTACATGTACTATGAAAGAGAGTGAGGACCTGTTCCTGTTCAAAGCACACATAAGTCTTTGGCCAGTTAACAGTCCAAAATTCTGAACCAGAAACAGCTAAAACAGTTAGAATGCATTTCAGATTCACACTCTCAACTGCCAAAAATGCAAGCTGTGGTTGCCAATCCCTGAGCTGCCAATGCAGCTACATAAACCTTTGGGCTGGCAAGGCAAAGGGAAAACCTGTTGCTATAGGCTTAAGGGTGGTGGAGAGCACATCCAGTGCTACTTGCCACTTATCACAACACTCAGGAAATATAGATGTTAATTAGGATTTTTTTTCAAATGTGCCTGCTGGATGCTGTGACTTGAGAAGCCAGATTTCCAAGCCTCTAAGAGATAAACAAATGTAGTCACTATACACAACACAACATCTACACAAAAATATGGTAAATTGTGATATGAATTAACTAATGACAACAAAGTGAAAGAGCCCATCCATCTCTTGGTCACTAGGCAAGAAACTTTTCTGAGCACGTGGCAGCAGGACAGTAACAATGACAGTTATCACAGCAAGATGCCTGCTTTTGATTAGAAATTTGTTGCCCGTACAAAAAAAATCCCAAAGCTAAACCAGCACTCTCCCTCCTCGCTTTCTGGTATCACAAAAGTGAGCCAATGTGATACTGAACTTGGAAAAGAAAGGTTTCCCCAGCAATAATGGTACAGGAACACCAATCAACTTTCAGGCTGCCCTTTAGAAGAGGATTCAGTTGCAGCCACCCTATCAAGTATCGACTTCACTCCACAACCCGGGAAAACCACACAGGAAAACACCTTGCACAGGGAACAGCAAGCAGATATCTAAAGAACTGGAATCAAGGCACGCTCTAAGATGGAGCTAACACGTTTTAATAGACTTGACCCTCGCGGCTGGAATTCACGAGCACTCCCCGACACAAGCCCTTCCTCCTACAACTCCAACCCCCACACCTCACGGCAGGGCAGGGCCAGGCGGTGGTACCGCACCCCTACCGGCACCGCGCCCCTTCCGCCCCGCTTCCCCAGCCCGGGGCTGCTCCAGAGCTGCCCCCGGCACAGTCCCGAGGCCGGCGGGCGGATACACCCGCGGGGCAGGCGGGCGGCCCGGGCCCTGGAGGGCTGCCTACCTTCACGGCTACTTCCGGGGCCGCGTCGACGGGCAGGGCCGGGGGCGCGGCAGGCGGCGCCCGGAGGTGCAGCACGGCATCACGGCTGGCGAGCACGGCGGCGGAGCGCTGGGAGCCGCCCTCGGTCTCAGGCTCCGAGTCGGGCTCCGAGTCGGAGCCGCCATAGGAAGCGAGCGCGGCTATAGCCGCCGACATCTTGGCGCGGGGGATGACGGGATGGGCAGGTCCTGGCAGCTCCGCAAGGCTCGAGACGTCCTTTCCCCCGCAGAACGAGCGGGGTGGAGCTGCGTCTTAAAACTGTGGCTCATTAAAACAGCAAACACACTCTAAAGGGTAAACTTTGTTACGGGATATACAGGCGTTTGATGGGAGAACATCCCACTTGGCTGTTGATGGTGCTTAACCTTTCAGGACTCTAGAGCAGGACTACAAGCTCCAGCATGCAACGCGGCGCCGCGCTCGGAAGTTTCCCTCCGGCTCTCGCCTTCACTTTGCCTGGCGGTAGGGGAAAATAAATATTCAACAGCCCGGGGAGAACTCCAGCCGCCCACTTCTTCCCCCGCACAAAGCGTCTTCACCGTATTTTCGACAGAGGGCAGCGAAGCAGGGAGCCCGGCCCCACAGGACCCCTGGTTGTCACCCCCGAGCTCCCACAGCTTCGACCCCGTGCCGTGCCCCGGGAAGCTCCGCCCCCTCATGCTGATTGGCCGCCGGCACACCCGGCTTCTGTTACGTCACAGCGGCGGGACCCCGCCCTGCCCGCGCCGGGGAGAGGGAGCCCGGCGGGCCGGACTGTACCACCTGCCCGCCCGCGGGGTGGGGGGCGGCGGCGCATGGACCAGCCCGAGCATCGGGCGGTGAGGGGGGGCGGCCGGGTTCGGCCGCCGGGTAAACAGCGCTTTCCCCCCGCTCCCTCCCGCCCGGCTCGGCGCGCCGGGAGAGGCCCCGCCCCCCGCGCGCGCACACACGCGCACACACACAGAGACACGCGCGCGCTGCCCGGTGTCTATTGTGAAGCCGCCGGGGACGCTCCGCGCCCGCCGCCGCCCCCCGAAACACGGAGCCGCCGGCTGGGAATGGCCGGCGCCGCCTGAACTTCCAGCGCCCCGGCGGCCGCGGAGGGAGGGGCTGAGGCTGAGCGGCGTGAAGGTGCGCCGCGAGGGCAGGCGAGTAAGTGCCCCCCGCCCCCCGCCTTCCTTCCCCCGTGGTCTCTAGGGCGGGCGGGAGGGACCGGCCCCCGCTCCCCATCGCCGGCGGGGCTGCGGGACGCGGCTACCCCACAAAGGGACCGGCGCTCGCCAGGTGTTGCTCCCCTCCCCTTTGTCCGCGCCCGCGCGGGGGGCGGCGGCGGGAGGCTGTGATGGAGGGAAGGGGGAAAGCACGCCGCGGAGCCGCTTTCCTCCGTGTCCCCGCCGCCCCCGCCGCCCCCGCGGGCAGGAGCACGAGGGGGGCGTGTTGCGAGGCGGTGGAGAGAAGGGGGCCGCACTTGTGCCGGAGCGCGGCGCTTGCCTCTCCTCCTCCCGCTCCCGGCCGCCCCGTGTGCCCGCGGCCGGCGCGGCGGCGGGATCGGCCGGCGGGGAAGGTGCGGGGAGCGCGGCCGGGGTCAGCGCGCGGGCGGGCGGGGGGCGGCGGGGTGACGTCACCGCCGCCAGGTGCGGGGAGAGGCGCCCCCTCCCCTCCCCTCCCCGCCCGTCCCCTCCCGCCGCGGGGACCGGCGCTGGCGAGGGCAGAGGAGCGGACGGGCGGCGGGACCGCCGGTCGGAGCGCAGGGGGATTCGGTCCGATTTCAGGGCAGAGCTGCCCGCTGGAACACTGCTACCATTGTTAGGAGGGCTCGGAGATCGCGGGGGATGGCCGGGAGCGAGGAGAAGCGCGTAGGTTCCAACTTCTCCCAGCCCGCTCCCGATCGCCTTCCTGCGCGCCCGCGGACAGGAGGAATGGGAAGGACGGAGCGGCGGCCGAAGAAGGGCTGGCTGTGCCGCCAGGTGTGTGCATTGCTCCCGCTTGCACCTGGAGCCGCACAGTGCCATGACTTCCCTTCCAGCCGCATGTGCTTTCGGAATTAAAGTGAGCACACAGTGACATCTAATTGTGACACAGTGGTATTTAATCCGATTAAATGCTCTACTTTGAATTTTCCACCCTTTTCAGCAGTCACGGTTTGAAATATTTGTTTTCTTAGCTTGAGAAGGTATCACTTGGTTTTATTTGTTTTTTTAAAACAGGCGAAAATAAACGTAGAGGGCATATAGAAAGTGTTGATGGTGTGGAGTGGAGCAAGGTACTGCATTAAGATCTGTTCTGTTAGACACAGGTATGCTATGTCTTTGTGTGCTAGAACAGGATTTTAGGTAAAAGTCCCACATATTTCACCACCAAGACCTTTTGTTTGCATCTCCAACAGCTGAAATATGCTACATTGAACTAACATTTCATATGGTAATAAGCTGACTTTTTCATCTTAAATCTATGGATGATGAATCCATAAGTAAGGAAAACTATATGATGCTTCACATGAATCACTGCTTATTAATATCAAAAGCGGTTCTTCCACTGCAGTCAATTGGTTTATTGGCAGCAATTGTTAACTGATTCCATATGACTGCATTCCTTTTTCTCTTGGCATGCAGATTGTAGGTATTGTCTGAAGTTGAAAGGTGTGCTTCCTGAAAAGTGAAAAATTTCAAGGTCTGTTTGTGCAACCAGTTTGTGATGTTTTATCTGGAGAACTGTATTGAAAATCATTAAAGTAGTTCTGCCTTGTTAACCTTGAATTTTAAGTGTTTGATTCACAAAGCTTTGGTAGCTGTCATAAGTATGTTCAACTATGTTGTGTCCAAGCATCCAAGTTCGCTTGCCAGTGAAATGTAATCATCTGGGATTCTGGATGCTTCTGTTGCAGAACCTACAAAAATCATTTACTGGTTTAAATTAGCTGCCTTCCTGGTACCAGCAGTAGTAGTTAAGCAAATACATGAGAAGGCATTCAGGACAATACTGTCTGAAGTTTCTCATTGCTTAAATAGTAGCGAAGAATAATTTTCAGCAAGCAAGCCAATGTCACTTCAGGGTATAAAAAAGTGATTTGACTATGCTTTAAAAGTGTAGATGGTTAATGTACACCATGATCTAAAATCTGGTTTTGTCAAAAAAGCTGAGGAGTTGCTGCTGGTCATTTGTGTTGAGCTAATATACTGGTGTATCTTGACTATCAACTGCATATTTGTAATTTCAAGAAGGGGTTGATCAGTATAAAACAAACTGAAAGGATGATACAGCTTTTCTAAAAAGCTCTGCTCATTACTGTGTGCTGCATGTTCTCTTTTAACTGAGTTCCAGAAAATGTGTTATGTTATGCATTGGATGCTGCTGGTTCTGAGGCAGACTGAAACAGTGGGTGGAAGGTGGTTTGGGTTGCTTGGCTTTGCTTTCCATCCAGCTTTTTCACTGCTGCTTTGCCTTGCACTCACTTCACTGTGCTTGCTTTAATTTTCCAAAGGAAGATAATACTGTCTCCCTTTGTACAGCACTTTTACATATCAAGAGGGCCTTTTAACACTTGTGTGTTGTTACTCCTAGTGCCATATACTATACCAAGTATTGCCATGTCTTTTCCCCTGGTGAAAGGAAAGAGGAAGAAGTATTTTAAGAGAGTGGTTCCTTGAGCAGTGGAAGCTTGGCTTTTACCTTTTCTCCTTCTTTTTCTTTTTTTTTTTTTGTGTGTGTGGGTTTTTTCAGGGCTTTTTTTTAATCCTGAGAGTGGTTGTAAGCTCTAATGGAATTTTTTTTAGTACAGTCTCATTCTTTTGTGGATCGTCTAATGTCCGACAAGGTGTTAAAGCATTCCGAATCCTTTCCCTTGGTCAGGACAATCACAGCATCTTGATTTCAAGGTATTTATTTATTTCAAGATTTATAGGTATCTTTAGCATTTTATAGGTGTCTTTGAGAATTCTACAACTTTGACAAATTTGATTGGATTCAGCCAGCCAGTTTCCAAGTGGAGAAACACCCATCAAATACCCCCCCCCACACACTTCCTTTTTGAGACTGATTTGCTTCACAATTTGAAGTAATATTAAATTTTAACATTTCACAAATTTTCCTCCACATCAGTCTTTTTCTTCCCTACAGTTGATCATGAAATCTGTTTCCCTCTGCTTTTAATGTATTCTATCCTACTTTCTTTTACCTTTGCTTGCTCTTTCATAGTTCTTTTTTGTTGCTTTCCATTATGGGCATGCTTTATCTCACACCCTTGTGCTTTCAGTTGGTTTTTCTTCCCCATAGAAAATGATGCATATAATCCTGCTTATTCTAGTTTTTTCCTCTATATTTTTTAGTTCTTCTAAATTGCTATCACCCTGCTTGCATATACTCTCACTTCTCATACACCAAGATCTGTAAGTCTGCAGTTTGGAGGAAAGGGAGGGGAAAAAAAACCCCATTATCGGACAGAGGATTGAACCAAAATACGAAGTTCTATTGTCTGTGGGAAATACAGAAAGAAAATGAGGTTTTTTGCCTCTGTTCATATGCTTTTGGCTGCTGAGAAAAGGTGTCACGATGTAAGCCTTATCAGGTTACTCCTGCTGCGTTTGGATTGGACCCTTTTATAAGCACCTGCTTGTGTGTCTGATGCATCTCAGTGTTCTCTAATTTAGCTGCTTGGAGACTGCTCGGATGAAGCACATTTTATAACTCGCGCTCTGCTATTTCTGCTACCTTGGAGCCTCTGACTGCTGCAAGGGTGATAATACTCTTTTCTAGTTTTTGTTATTTTGGACTAGGTCCCGGATTCTGAAAGATACCAAGGCGCCAGATTGCAAAAAGAGTTCTCTGTTCCAGTACATCTGTGAATCAGTCTCTTTAAGCTTTTTGGAAGGGATCTTGAGGTTGTCTGACACAGATTACATGCTATATATTTCATGTTTACAAGGTGTGGTTTCAAAGAAAGAATGGTATGGGATAAGACTGAAACAGCTTAGACTGTTGTTCTTGTTTCAGATGACTTTGCAAACTAAATAATATTTGTTGCAGAGCCACCTCTTCCCTAGAGCATGGAAGCTGTGCAGCTTCTTCGAACTACTCAGCTACATATGCAGTACTGTGAACTGCATCTTACAGCACAAGCTGAGTGAGTACTGTGTCAGAGAGGCAGCAAAACTAATTATAGACTTCCGGGAATATAAACTTAATTAGCATAATTACAAATTTATATTGGTTTTCTTAATTCCCTGAAAAATGTTTTTTTAAATCAGTTAAAGGACAGAAAATGTCATCAAAAGTGTATACATTTCTGAAAATATGCGCCTGTGTTTTTGGGGGAAGCTAGATTGACAGCTTGCTTGTCTGTTGGTGTAAGAAATAACCTTATACTTTCAAAGAACTACAGAATAACAAACAAATGTAGTTACATTTTAGCAAAACTCTTAACAAAGAGCAGAAATAATGAATAATTTTCAATGAGCTTTTACCTTTTTGTTGGCTGACTTTTCAGTTAGGTACTATAGTTGCAACATGAATTTACTCTTCTGACAGCTGATTCCGTGCAGAAGTAAAATATTATAAATGCCCTAGCAGTATGACATTTAAAACTTACTAGAAAACAGGAATCTATCCTGAAGCCAGATGTGGGTTTTTGGCATATAGTAAAAGACATTAAATTCTGTTGAAGAGTTTTTTTTATAGCTAAGGCATTTGTACTGTCTTTTCCTCTTCTTTTTCTGCTCTGTGGTAAGCTGTATTCATTTTCTGCAAGTCTTAATAGAGTGTCTCTTCTCTATTTGTTTCTTGTTTGTGAAAAATAAATTTGGTAGAATATTGGTCAATAGATGTTAAGTTACTGAAGGAGAGTTTCCAACAAATACTCTGCAAGTGGTCTCAAAGTTTGCATAGGGAACAGGTCTGAAAGTCACTGGGTGCTCTTAATGAAAAAATATGCACATGTAATTCTCATCCTTTACAATCACAACTGCCTGTAGATAGAAGTATGTGATGACAGCAGACTGATGGTAGACTCAGTAGTACTAACTGAAATCACAAGTAGTTGGTACTCCTTCTGCAATGATAAATGTGCCTCACTAATCTACATGGGGTTTTGATTGCAGTAGTAGCAGTGGATTAAATATGAATAAAGTTCTACTTTGCATGCACTTTTAAAAGGTGTAATTGAAGGTTCCTCACACCACACTATTAAATGAAAAAGCCATGATATGAGAGGTAAAATATTTTCATGGATCACAAAAATCTCTGAGAGGAATTAACAGAAATATTAACTTATAGGAGACTTAATTTTTTTTCTTAAATATTGAACAGGAGCTGTCAAATATCTCTTATTAGTCATCTGTAGAATTTGATTCATAAAATAGAATTATTTACTGAGGATTTAAAACAATTTAATCCAATTCACAAATATTGGAAAGGTCAACTGAGAAGTTTAGGCAAGCTTTGTGAAAGGATGACAGGTAAACTGCCTGTTGGTATATGCAAATCAGTGTGTTTTGGAAGCAGAAAATAAGTTTCCATTTATATGTCTGGAGAGTTTCCAAATTAACAGTATTAATATAACAAAAAATTTGATAAGGTACTGTTATCCAAATTATAGGTGTAATCAGAAGTGGGCAAAAAACCAGAGAAGGAATTGCCATTGTGTACAAATTCATTCATTCTTATCCACTATTCAAAGTGCATTATTAACTGTCAATTAGTTTAAAAGAGATAAATCACAGTATTGTAAAGAGTTTGATATGATGGATATGGCAGAGTTTGTCAAGGGAATGAAAAGATTGGAATTATTTACCCAAGGAAATGAAAGAAAGTGAGGAGTGGGCTATAAAATACATGTGAATTTAAGCTCTCCAATAGCAGATGTAAAAGCAAAAACCTCTTCAATCAGTGAAAAGCAATTTATTGAAGCCATATGTTTTTTGCAAGGAGGAGGGAATTGAGACTTTTTCCCTGTGTCTGCTAAATGTACCTTTCTCTTGATACATGTACGTATCTGCATACCTGTCTTTCACTGATAGAC